ATAGATATATATATGTACATGCGTCTCCCCATTGGCCTGCGAAATAGGAAGCTTAATGTGTATTATTTCAAGTCCGCCCTATCCACATTATGGCCCATCTTCTTGTGGGACGTACCTGTAAGAATATATAGACACAAGCAACAAAAAGAGTAGGTAATCCTCTGGAAAGGAAAGATCTTTGTATTCTGCTTTTATTCGTCTCATTTGGTTCACGATCTCTTAAACTGCTTCCCCTGTTTCGCCCGTCACAGGGTTCTGCCAAAATAGGCCTCCTGAAGGTGTAGCCGCGGCCGATCGAATATACCATATTCTGTATCGATCTTATATGTAAAAACAGGAAAAAACGCAGGAATTTCCTTGCAATGCTCCTTGCACTTCGGAATATAATATTTCTCAAAATGAATAAAAGAAATATATCTGATCTTCCTATATAGAGATTACCGCCTCAAAATAACTGCAGGAACGGAAGATGATGAAGCATATATATATATAGGTACTTATGCATCCTTTCTAAGGGGGTTTATTAGTTACTAGTAGGTTCTTCTTTATTATAACATAGTATAATTCTCAGAATGGTCTCATCAGAGAGTACGAATAACATCTCTGATATATCATATAGAGCTGAAGTCTTACGGATATCGCAAAAGTAAATCTTTAACACGATTAACGATATTTTAATAAATCCTTAAATAATGAATGAAGAAACAGTCAAAATATAATATAAGCTAGTCCCTATTTGTGTTTTCTCTATTAGTAGGATTTAAATAGAAACTCTTATTATAAAGAAAAAAGATAAGGATTTTAACTCCCAGCCTCTTTTTCATTCAGTAAACCACAAAAAGTGAAAGAAGAGGAAGAGAACAGAAAGGATAAAATTACGAAAATTTTCCGGTTAAGCTGCAGAGATATGGGAAGTTCTTATTCCTGCATCTCCCATTTAAAATACGCGCTATTCAAATTCTATTGGCTAAGTATCCTTATTTATCAAAAGGACGTAACATTTTTATGCGGAATAACAGAAGTAGAGAAAGAAAGACTAAATTCAAATAAGGCACGTCACAATTGCTACGACTTGCAGTAAAAAGCAATACCTCAAATGAATTACCATGCGACCTGAGACACTGCTTATCCCAATTGGGATAGGACGCATTTTCCCAACACATAGAGTTATATGAAAGCGAAAGAAAATGATACATATGGTTACATTTTTCTTCTCCGGAATAAGCTATTCTTCTGAAGTCTCAAATTGGAGAACATATATTTGGCATTTACTCTGCATCATAATACGTATCGATACATATATATATTCCTATGCTTAAATTTAATACAGGAATTTTTCCAAATCCAAAGAGATCATTATGTTTTCCTCTCGATTACTGAAGGGATGTTTCCTGTTACTTTACTTTCATCATTTCACCCTGCTTCTTTCAGTTCCCATGTTTTTTCCTCAAGGAATATAGGCAACTCATATGAAGTTTACTGTCTGCACTCTCATTCGAACGCAGTAAAATATTTATCGAAAATATTACAACAGTCTAAATCCAGCACTTGTGCCATGTCTGAGACAGGAGAGATTTCTTAATATTATTTCATCTGTATACATTACTCTTCCTATGCAGCTGTTCTGAGGAACATCAGAAGCAATTCTTAATTATTGTCGCGTCGGGAAAACATATCCCTATAACTTAGTATTTTATAATGCAGTATTTTCGTTAATTATTACATATTTATACATACAGACGGTCGATACCTTATATTCACATTGGTTGCTTTGGGATTCGTACGCTTTTTTTCGGTCTGCCTCCTGTCCATGTATATTTCTGTCCATCCCGTGCCCTGTTTTTTGTGTGCTTCCCATTCCTTGTAAGAATCGGCTGTGCTCACCAGACACAGAAAATTCTCAACGCGAGGACATCATTACTTATCATAAATGACGCTAATTGGCTTCGGACATTTCATGCTAACTCCTTCCTAATAACTCCTTACAATCATCCGTCCTCTTTTCGGCTGAGGGCCACGGTTCTTCCAAAGTCTCTTCCCCCGGCCTGAGCCCCCAATACCACATAATATACCACCTGTCTCGGATTACACATAAAGACGGAAATTATGCCGAAATTTCGCCCCCTCCGGTAAACTTGGGTAGGATAGAAAATTTTGGTCAGATTTAAAATTATCCCCTACGGTACTGTCTCTGCTGCCACGATGGCATTATTTGTTGGGGAGAATTAAAATATACAAACGACCACAATAATGTTGCTGGGTTACTCATTTATTCCATTCTTTCTGCTCCAGTAGTGCAGTCTCCACATAGAGGTAGTATACAGACTTCTTTTACGGTACATGCCATTTACATTCTCTGAATCCAAATAGGGAACCATTCGATTTTTCTCTTTGTAGCTCGTATTTTCGTTGGAACAGTCCATCATAATAAATTCTCGAAAAGAATAGAATACATATACAATATGTATATCCCATATATTTTCATTAAGCAACAATCGATTGTCTTCCGCAACATTATCTGGACAATGTGTCTTGCATCATATA